GTGCAGGCGTTGCAAACATCACTCGATCCGACCCGAGTGTCACCGGAAGAGAGAGAGAGAGAGAGGGAGAATAGTTTACTTTAAAATACAAATCTGGACAATTAACTAATGATCCAAACGATGTGTATCGAGAATTGTTATGAAAGCCAGAAATGCAATCCAATCGATAGACAATACATGGCTAGAAATATAAGCAAAACTTACAATTTTATATATTATTTAATCGATTCGATAGTCATATAAATTAATACATTTATAATTATATTTGCGATATAAATGACAAAACAATTAAAACTTACATTTGATTATATGTAAAAATTTAATAAAAAGATAAATATAACTGAAAGTCTTGTGTTTAATACAAGAATTGATTAACTCGTTGTTTGCAATGGAAGTGCATTTAAGACTAAGGTTGGCAAATTACATGATTTTTTAAAAACGATGTAATTTACATTGTAAAATACAAAAATGCACGTAATATACATGTTATTTTACTTACTATGGGGGAAATTAACATAATTTGTAAATAACAATTAAGCTATTTAATTGTATTATTTACACTACTTATACACTGTTGACCTTTTTGAAACTAATTCCCCATTAATTATTTTATTCTACATTCAAATTAATTGTTTCTAAATTGATGCATCTTATTAAATTTGTATACAGTAAACCCCGATTATAAGAAAATTATATTTTATACGAGTTGGTGATTCAATCATCAATTTTTGGCAAAAATTGCATCAATATTTGTCATTCGTTTTTGTAAAATAGCCCAAAAACAATTGATTTTGGTTTTGATTTTAATCGATTATGATTTTTACAAAAAACGTATTTTACAAAATGAAAAATATGTGCACCGTAAAATACATGGTTTGTCATATTGCCAACCCTATATAAGACAAAATACAATTTAATAAGTGCGTTGTGCAATGAATGCATTGAAACTCTGACATTTAGTTGAGAAAAATCAATAATTTTAATCAAAATACTAAAATGACGTTTGTTATGGCAAAGTGTTAATTTGTTCATTGACTGTACTGTTAACTCTTATAACTAGGGGCAAATAACTTTTACTGTTGATTCAATAGCGCTAATTATGGACGTATTATTTGAACGCATTGATGGAAAGCTATTTATTGCTTGAGTGCAAGCGAGAGAGCAGTGCATTAGCGAAACATATCACGTGATCAGTGGTTCACATCTCATATGAAAGGAGTTGTATTGAGTGATACAATGAGTTGTAAATAGCGTTCACTTTGTTGTCTCAGTTGTCTCACTATTACTACACTTCAGTACACTTTCACCCCTTAATGGCAACCCTTGCGCACCACTGATGTACCACATTTACTTATTACTTATAAGTTATAACTATTGTCTAATTATTTGTAATATACTTCTGAATGACAATTAATACATCAATTAGTAGCCGAAGGAAGGGAAGTGTTGGTCATGTGTTGAGTACAGTACATGTATAGCGTTATAGCAGTGAATGCAGTGAATGAATGCAATGAGCGCTGCATTCAGTGCAAGCGAGAGAGCAGTGCATTAGCGAAACATATCACGTGATCAGTGGTTCACATCTCATATGAAAGGAGTTGTATTGAGTTGTATTGAGTGATACAATGAGTTGTAAATAGCGTTCACTTTGTTGTCTCAGTTGTCTCACTATTACTACACTTCAGTACACTTTCACCCCTTAATGGCAACCCTTGCGCACCACTGATGTACCACTGATGCCATCGCTGTCCACAGTGTGGTCCACACCATGTCCTCCATGTCCTCCATCGCAGTGATAGCTACAGACGTTGACAGACATTAATCGGGTTGTGGTTGTCGTGGATGTGATGTTTGAGTGGAAAGCAGTCATAAGCAGTCATACAACTCATGTCACAACAAATAACTTGAAATATGTCTGAAATCATGAGTGACCACAAAGTGATGACCGATTGGTCGCAAACACCGGCCCACAAGACATCGCAGCCACATATGGTTGCGGTGGACTTCCCACCCCTGGCCACCGGTGCCACCGCTGCCCCCCTTTCGGCCACTACTGTAGTGCCACTCGTGAGCGCACAACAACTCCGCACTCACGAGGAAGAGATCTATGAAGACCTGTGTTATGTGACATTGAGGTTAGGGAGGGATAGGGAACGGGTGTTGGGATCCATACCTCTGGAACCGATCGAGAAGAGAGACTATTGTGTGAAAGAGTTGGTCGAAACGGAGAAGAACTACTGCGAGGCACTCAATATGATTGTCAATCAATTCATACAACCGTTGAGTAAAGTGTTGAGGACTTCGGACCGCAACTCCATTTTCATGCATATCAAGCACTTGTATGACATTCACAGCCGTTTCTACACAGATCTGTGCCACTCATGTCAGGCCTCGACCGGTGCCCACACGCCAAGTGTTCAGATGCAGTGCCAAACCAACTCCACACCCACCCTGTCGTCCACCCCCTGCACCCCCTCCACCACGACGTCGAGTGCATGCAATGCAACCAATGGTCACAACAATCATGTGAACGGCGTTCACAACAATAACTTTAAGATCAGTTCAAGTTTTATACAATTCAAAGACAAGTTTGTGGTTTACGGGGAGTACTGTTCAAACCTTCCCAAAGCGCAGACACTTATTGACACTCTTTGCCAAAAGGATGAACTCATCGCACAATCTGTCCATAAATGTCAGCTGAAGGCAAATGACGGCAAATTCAAGTTAAGAGACTTGTTGTCGCTTCCAATGCAACGAATACTCAAATATCACTTATTGTTATCACAACTCATTAAGACTACTGTCGACACTCACGAGGACTACTCTGGTCTGCAGAGAGCCCATCAGGCGATGGTAGACATCGGCCAATACATCAATGAAGTGAAGAGGGATACCGAAACTCTGGGCATCATAACTGACATCCAGGCGTCCATTACAGACCTGGATATGCCTGAAAACACTGAACTCAAAGACTACGGACGACTACTAAAGGATGGAGAGCTCAAGATTAGGTCACACGAAGAGAATCGCCTTAAGAATAGATATATATTTGTTTTCGATAAAGTGATGCTAATGTGTAAATCAATTCGTGGCGAACAGTACTCCTATAAAGAGGCACTCATTCTCGCCGACTATCAGGTGAAGTACAGTACAGTTGAGCACAACATTCATGTATTAATTGTATTAATTGTATTGTATTTATGTTAAGATTGAAGAGCAGAGCATATCGAGTACAATATCCAAACTCACCAAACAATGGACTAATGGCTGGAATTTAGTCCACAGACAGCACAAGAAGACGTATGTATTTTACGCCAAAACAGATGACATCAAAAACAAATGGATTGAAGCCATCAATAAAGCGCTCGACAATGACTGTCCGCAGGCGTGTCGGGAGGGCTATACTGACCATACATTTGCAATGTTTACTTTCCCGACGATTACCACTTGTGTCGGATGTGACCAACTGTTGAAAGGAATCTTCTTTCAGGGCTATCAGTGCACTGTCTGTCATATTGGCGTTCATAAGGACTGTATACAAAGTGTCCCCTCGTGTGGCGCCCCTTCACTGCCTCCACGACCACCACTTCCGCCATCGAGTCCTGGATTATCGTTGAACTCATTCACAGAAGAGGACAGTGTTAGTAATGGCGGGACGTGTGATACAGGTGTTAGACAGTCGTACGAAAGTCCCACATCTCTGGGTGTGTTTGACGGCAATCATCAACAAACTGAAGAGCAGGTCCTCAATCTGGAGGACTACGACTGGTTTGCGGGACCGCTGGACAGAGAGAGCGCACAGTCGACGCTCCAACACATGAACAACGGCTCGTTTCTCGTCCGCATATCACCCAAACAGAGGGGCAGTTATGCCATAAGTCTTAACTATTCGGGACAAGTGAAGCACATGAGAGTCCAACAGAGAGACGACAATCAGTACTACTACTTATCGGAAAGCCGTTATTTCGCAACAATCGCCGATTTGGTCGTGTATTACGAGAGCAACAGTTTGTGCGAGTCTTTCAATTTAGTGGACACTAATCTCATGACGCCATACAAGAAGGCGTTGAACGCTTCTGCGGTGGCCTATGCCATAGCTCTCTACAGCTTCACCGGCAGTTCAGCCAATCTGCTAGACCTGAGAAAAGGCGATAGAGTGGCCGTTCTGTCCAAAGCGGGCGAGAGTAAGGGCTGGTGGAAGGGACAGATCGCCGACCGCATCGGTTACTTCCCTCTCGCATACGTCACGCAAACGCAACACATGTCGTGATATGTGAGGCCATAAACTGAGGAAATGAATCCACAAATAGACCTCAATTCATGTTCAATAACACAACGAATGTCGTATAGATTTACTGAAAACATTTCTGTTAAACACTTTCATCATATAAAGTGTTGTTTAAGTTTATATTTTACTTATTTTAGAATTTAATTTTTCACCATTTATTAAATTTTGACGTTTTGTAAAATGAATTGCTTTATATATTCATTAGAAATGGAAAATAAAGTTTATATCTATTATAAGCTATAAATTATTTGCTCATTTTTCGTCTCATCTTATATTTAATCATTACTTTTAATTGAAACAAAACCAAAACTAACGGTTAAATACATTTTGAGTCTAGCTTTCAGTTCATTAGTAGTAATTTGTGTTTAAGAACTAAAACAGAGACACCTTTTTAATTGAATATCTCATTAAAACAAAATCATTATTTTGTTAGTTTAGTCTAAAACAGAAACATCGCATATTTAGTGTATTTTGTGTTAATTAAATGTATTAAAAGTATTGATCAATACATACTTATTCGTTACAGTTATTACTGGACTACTTATACAGTATAAGATACACAGTATAGTTCAGAATAGTACAGTATATTCAGAGCATTTTATCAAACCTTACGATTTGAATCATTAAATAAAATAAGTGAATTTTAAATATAACATAATTTAAATAAATAAATAAATAAAATTTATGTGTCTAAAATAAACATATCTTTTATTTATATTTTTTCCTATAATTTACAGCATCCTTATTATAAATATTAAAAATAACTATAATTCATTAAATTAAAACTTCATTATTTATAAATCAGAGCATTGCATTATATTTAAATATAAGCCTTTAATAGTCACTATAAATGTTATGAAAAACAGCCAAAATTATATTAAAATTACTTAAATATTGTAGTTTTTTAAAATAAATTTATAAAATAAGTATAAAAATTTATTAAAAAGTTATAATCTTATAAATTAAAATAGGGTTAAAGTGTATATTACTAGAAATAAATAAAAGTATGATTAGAATTGTAAATAATATACTATATCGTATAAGAAAATAGTTTATTTTATCTAAAATACATTCGACGCCAAAAATATCGAAATAAAAGTAACAGTTCTATAATCAAAATAACTACAAATAGAGTTATTATAAGGCCTAATATCCAAACGGGAAAATTACATTTAGGGGTCCCGTAAGGAAAGTCTATATTACAAAACACTTCATTTGATATCCATTTCTGGACAGCATTTTTCCAGTTGTCATCAAATTCTCGGTATTGATTTGGAGAGCACTGGCCGTCGGCTATAGATTGCTGGCAGTCATATATCTGCCACATCTGACAGCACTGGGCTTTAATCAAAGTGTCGTTATTAACACCATTTGTTAACTTAAAGTTATAATTCCAATCATTTAATGCAGATTCAAAGCATTGATCCATTTCCAGGCGATTCTTTGTATAACACGTCCCATTGTTTGGTGGAATCAATATACCCATAGACATAGTTTCACTTATATCTAACACATACCAACTCAATAACACATACAACCACATTAATACACACATCAAAATACATATCAATTTAAATATAAATAAAAATAATTTATTAGATTTACATCAATTCAATTTTGGTAGAAATTCTAAGCATTTAATTCTTAATACTTTGAAACAAAGTATATTGTAAGATTCATAAAGTTAATTAAAGTAGTGTTGATATTATGGTTAGAATTAAAACATGCTTTACGTGATTGTCTTGAGTTGGAGAGAGAGAGAGAGAGAGAGAGAGAGAGAGACCAGATGGATTTTACACAATTTTGGATTTTGAGCAGAAATCTATCTTGAAATTCTTGGTTCCTTGACTTTCATATAATTATGATATAATTTGCCATGGACTATCCATACAAAATTGAATGTTAAAAATATGTTTCCAGACTTGGAAATTCTCTGTTAGTCCTGGGCAATCTAGTTCATTCCTCGACATCTGGTCACTCTATTTAAAGTGCACTCTATGGTAACGCTATCACCAGATTTGTTATGTCATAATGTGATGACAAAGCAAACCAATTATTACTTGATATTTTTATAAAATTTCTAGTTATAAGAAAATTGTCATTCATCTAATATTGAATTAAAAATTAATTGAAGTTATAATTTATATATTTTAACCTAATCTGTGATTCAATTCTTATATTATAATATAATTAATATCGAGCAGCTCGATTTGAGCTATACACTTATTAAATTCTGTGATTATTTAGTATTTAAAAAAATTTAAATATTTTTTTATTGCTTTATAATATCAATGGATTTCCATTTTAATAACTTAAGTATATTTATAATGATATAGTACAGTATATTGTACATTAAGTGTTAATTACACACCTTATCAATACATGTAAATAATTGTATCATTCAATATAATAGGTATCAAAATATTATGAAATGCTAATATTCTAGAAATAAGAGCAAAAGTAGTTTTATCTAAAAAGATTGTTTTAATAATTACTTCCTTATTTTGGACAATACTATATTAAGAATAAATTTATATAAACATTGAATTTTTATTAAAATCATAAAAATAATTACAGAATTTTGAACTTTCAAACTATATATTCTTGATGTATTAGTTTTGCTATTAAATGGATTATAAATTATAAAAATTATAAATAGAAATAAATTGTATTATATACCTTGCAAATGAAAACAAAAAACTAGTAAAATTGCTATAAATATGTTTTGATTACTATATTGAAAAACATGTTTGTGAACAACAAATTTCATGCATTATTGTAAGGTATGTTTTTTGCTTTATTTCGGTTTAAACTAAAGCAATATAATCGGACAAAAATACAGGTTTTCTAAATTATATTTATAAATATATACATAATAAATGTTAATAAATATTATATATTTTAGAATTAACAAGAATAATTAATTGATAATTAAAATCTTTATAACAAATATTGTTGTTTTAACTAAAAATCTTATAATAATTGAGGTCTTAATAAAAGGGAAAATAATTTGAATAAAAACATTATATTAGTTGGAGTTCTATATTTAGTGATAAAACTCTTATTCGTGAATTATATAACTTTTATTTTCTAATTATATTTTGTTTCTCTTTCACACAATTGGTGAGTAGAAAGAGATTTATTATATAAGAATTAAAATTACATTTAGATCACGATTTTCTAACATATATAATGTTGGGTTAAAACCGATATTTTTTTAACTTTTAGAAACATTTATATTAATACATTTATAGAGTACACTATTCTTAACTTTGTATTCAAAAAATAATATTTTATACAAATTTTCAACATTGAGTTTTTCATTATATTTAGTGATCATCAGTAAACATGTTTAAAGTAAGTTTCAAATTTATTT